AACATGTATGGGTAATTTGGGAGAACTTACTTGAGCTCGGCTGATTGCATGCACCACACCCTTATCTCTTTTCAAAGTTCTTTTCTTTTTCTCAAAAATCTTATAAAAATGATTTTCTTTTGAAAAAATTTCATACCACGTCCTCAGTTTGAGTCCAGACACACCCGAGAGTGTGCCCGAATCCCTCAAACCAAGGCTTTGATACCAACTTGTAACGTCCCAAAAATCAAGACCAAAAATTCCATTTTAATTGATTAAATAAACCATAAGTTATCAAAGCATTTTATCAAAAAATTGTCATCAGAGTTCCATATCAAAAATCAGAGTAAAACATCCCAGGCTAAACATCATGGTGTGTGCGATGCAGTCATCCCGAGCTCTTCCCTCCGCTACCGGAAGTACCTGAAACCAAAACTCAAAACCGTAAGCACGAAGCTTAGTGAGTTCCCCAACCTACCACATACCATACATATAACCACATACCGGGCCCCCACCCGCTGCATCGGGACTTGCCCGTCATCGGACTCGCTCCGGTATCGGGCCCCGCCTGGCATCGAGCCCCGCTCGGTATACAGATCTGTTTCTCTTAGGCCTCGCCTAAGAGAAATTTATTTTTGTTTTTTATTTTTTTTTTAAATCTGAAAATCAGAAAAACAAATAAGAAAAAAAAATCATATCAACAGGGGCAAATCCGTCATTTTGAAAAAAATCAAAACATATTGGACCAAACAAGCAACAAAATGAAAACTTTGGACCTCTGGTACTAGTTCAAACCTTTTTGGACCAAAGTGGCAATTTTGCGCAAACCACAGGGACCATTTGTGCAGTTTAGTCAATATAATACTCCCTCTGTCCCAAAATTATAGTCCATCTTTCCTTTTTGGTTTGTCCCAAAATAATAGTCCACTTCTAAAAAAAATAACATTTTTACCAAAATACCCCTCATTATTAATTAACCAACTAAGCATTTAATGGAACATTAAATGCAAAGTAAGGACAAAACTGTCATTTTATTAAATAAAGTTAGTGGTAATTAATGCTTTTCTTAATATGTGTGTTTTTTGTCTGTGGACAATAATATTCGGACGGAGGGAGTATCATTCATTTCTTGGGAAAAATATTTATGCCCAGTTTTTAATTGATTTAATTGAAAAAGTAAAATGAAAATTTTGAAAATTTTCAATTAATATCAAAGTTTTTTTCTATCGAATTTATGTGTTAAATATTTTATCCCTAATTACAATGTTTAGGTATAACTTTGCGACCAAAGTTTGTTGGTTTTTATCAAATAGATATGTTAATCCATACTATTTTATTTTCACTTTTATACAATAATACATAAAAGTTGATCTATATTTGTTAATTTTCTATAATAAAGTAATAAAATTGTTGAAAAACTCTTTAAGTTTTTTTTTTCAGAATAAGTTTAATTAGATTTTAGTTTATTCTAACTGCCTGCAGATGTTAAAAAACAAACAATATTTTTTTTTCAGACTGCAGACGTTTGGTCCACCTCTTTTACTATAGAGGTCTGCAAATGTTGTCTGCAGACTGTAGACATTTTGCCTCAGAAAAAACAAACAACACCTAAGTGTGATATGTATTTAATTATATTAGATGGATATGAGTATATATATATATATATATATATATATATATATATATATATATATATATATATATATATATATATCTAATAAATGAATCCATTTTTACCATGTGGCACCTCATTATTGCATCCTACAATAAAAGTTAAATTACTAATATACCCTTTACAACTTTTAAATAATCTCCCCGCTCAAGAATTTAGGGTAAATAACATAAAAGACACTCAGTTTACACCAAAATTCTAATTTGATGACGTGGCATGCTGACGTGTCAAAATTGATTTTTTTTCCACAAAAAAACACTAAATTTTCATTTTTTTTTTTTCGATTTTGACACTAAGTTTAATTTTTTCTTTTACCTTTGACACTATTTTTTTTGTTCCAAATCGAACATCATTTTTTCCAATTTTATTCAATATTGACCATTTTCTATTTGAAACCGTATAAATATTTTTTTAATACATTTAAACCATATAAATACATTTTTTTACATTCAAACCATAATTTTATATATAAATATGTATTAGTTATATAAAAACCGTATTTTATATTAAATACGCAACTTTAAAATGAGTTTGGAGGTTTGAAGGCGTGTAGTCGATCAAAACCCGGATGTCAAGTTTGCAACCCATGAAATTTTTACGTCTTATTAGAAGCTTATGATTAGTTTGATTCTCATAATATAACTAATGCATATTTATACATTATCTTTATGCTTTGAATGTAAAAAAAAAATTGTATTTAAATAAAAATGTGGTTTTTAAACGAAAAAAATATATTTATACGGTTTAAAATGTAATAAAAAATATATTTATACGGTTTCAAATGAAAAATGGTCAAAATTGAACAACATTTGATAAATGATGTTCGATTTGGAAAAAAAAAACATAATGTCAAAATTAAAAGAAAAAATTAAACTTAGTGTCAAAATCGAAAAAAAAATGAAAACTTAATGTTTTTTGTGGAAAAAAAAAATTAAATTTTGACACGTCAGTATATCATGTTAGAAGTATGCCACGTCATCAAAACTGACACGTAATCATGCCACGTTAGCTTATAACCTGGTTGACCAGTTAAGTGGTCAGAATTGTAACAAATTGAAAAACACAGTGTCAAATTAAAATTTTGGTGTAAACTGAGTGTCTTTCTATTTACCCGCTAAATTATTTCTTCGATTGTTTAATGATAAATACTAATCCCATAAATTTCGGTTTATTACTTCTCAAATTTTGTAATTTTGTTTCCTTCATCTTGGTCTTCTTTCTCGCCAAACCCTAAACAAGCTTGATTTTGAAAAACAGTGCCTACGTGTATGCTCTAACAAAAAGGATAAGCGTATGCTCTAATATTGCAGAAATTTTAAGTTCTTGCTATGGTGAGAAATAAATAACAGGTTGTGGTTATGCTGAAGAATAAATATAGTTTAATAGAGGCTTTTTATCTTTGGTTGGCGTTTCTTTAAAGGTGTCATATCCTTTAACGCCATCACCTCCAGCATCAACACAGGTTACCGCCTTCACCAACACTCCCTTGGTTCTTATGACCTACACTCTCACATCTCAATCAAAATTTTATATGATTACCTGAAATTTTGGTATTTATATTTGGCTCTGTTGCAGCCTTTCAGTGTTACAGAGACAACAATGGCTATCACCATTTATGTTATCTTGGTTAATTGAGGTTTTATGAGTTTTGGTTTATTGCTACACTCAATTTTATGCTTAGAATTATATACATCAATATGTCCTCCAAATGTTTGATAAAATGCCTAATTGACAAAATCATTCCAATCAACTTTGTTCAAAGACTATACTAACACTATTCAATTTCAGGTTGTTGAGAAGACACGCCTTGAGATTCAAACGAAAATAATGAAAAAAGATAAATCTTGAAACCTCTGTTTCCATATATTATAATAAATTCAAATGTTTTATTCATCGATTAGTTCTATTATCTTGATGTTTCCTACAACAGGGAAAAAGAAATCCTGATACCTTTGTTTCCATATATAGTAATAAATTTTTAGATGTTGTGTTCATGGATTCATTCTATTTTCTTTATGCTTCATACAACAAGATATAATTGTGATTTAGGTATTTGTCCAGGATCACGGTTATGTAAAATTTTAGAAGGGTGAAAGACCTGACACAATTGTAGTTTAAAATGTTTGTGTGTAGGCGAATGGTTGTCTGAGTGTGTGTGCCTGAATGCAAATTGTAGTTAAGAATGTTTCTTTTGTCTTGTGGAAATGGCAGTGTAAAGCAACCGGAACATCAAAGTGAGCTTGAATGAATGTAATTGCAATCTTTGGTGCCACATTTATGTTATGATGTTTCCTTTCACTTTATCGTATTAAATTTGCTTTGTTTTAGTTCTATAATTATTTTATTTATTTTTTTATTTTTTTAATTTTTTTTTAATGGAAGTCTAACTTGTGTTTGTCTGTGAATGCATGTTGTGTATCCCTTTTTTCTTTAATATATTTAGATAAACAAGAGACATCATTGGAATACAATAACAATAACTAAACCCTCTTGTCACAAAAATAGTCACAAAATTCATTTGTTTCTATTATAGCATTGAACTTTCATTTTAATCTTGATTATAGCACTTTACTTACATTTGTTTTTCAATTATAACATTGAGCTTTCATGTTAATGTCAATTATAGCATTTTACATCTATCTTAATGACAATTATAACACTTTAAATTCATTTGTAGCAGTTTTTTTTAATGTGGATTACATCATTTTACTTTTAAATTTATGCCATAGCAATCAAACATCATTTTAATGTTAATTTACACATTTTAGTTTCATTTATTTTGCAATTATAGCATTCAACATTCATGTTACTGTCGATACAGTCATTCAATTTTCATGTTCTAGGTTTCAATCACACTGATATCTATATAAGTGGTAGAACTATTTCGAAGATCAAAATCCTCGACCCCGTGTTCACACGGGCTTATCACCTAGTGTGTGTGTATATATATATATATATATATATATATATATATGATTTACATAACATAATACAATATTACTTAATTGCCAAGCTTATTTGTGTGATACCATCAAAAATCAACTAAATGAATTGCCACTTTGGAGACAAACCAATGTTAACACCACCCTTTAACTATTTGAGTAAATGTAGATAAAAGTTGTGTAGCTGATATAATTACCAGGGTAACAAGTTTGCATGATAAACTTTTTTGGTCAAATATGAATATTCCCCATGTTTAAATAATGATAGTGAAACCATCAAAAATCAGATGACATCTCCTGCGTTTGTTTATACACAAATTCCATATTAACAGTAACAGTCACTCAAAATGAAGCTACAAAAATATGAATAATAAACAACCACCATCCATCCATCCATCATCATCATCATCAATCATAAATCATTTTAGGTTTTTTAAACTGACATGCTCTTCAACCTCGTTTCTTCTGTTTGTATAATTTCCATTGTTTCAGCAGAAACTCCACACCTTCTTTCAATATCGCCTTTCTGTTCTGTTTGTTGTTCCAAAGCTCAGGCAATGGATACCTGCCACTTGGATTGTATTCATTCATCTCTTTTAGAGCTGTCACAACCGCATTATATACGCCTTCATCACATTCAGCCTTCAGCCTCGCAATCTTTTCATCTTCTTCATCCAGTATTTCCTGTCACACCAATATAATAATAATAATAATAATAATAATAATAAGTTAAAAAACAAATGAAATGATGTTTTATTTACATGTTAATTAAGTTGATAATCAGACCTTGCAATCATCTCCATTAATGGTGATGACCTTAAATGGATGCCAGCTTGGATCCCTGAGATGATCCTCCCACATTGACAAAAACTTGACTGTATCCTCTCGACTTAAACAACGTTTCTTAGCATCAACTATGAAAGGCTTTGCATCAAGATCCCCCATTCTTTTCACACCAATATGGGCTCGACCAGAACCACATATTTCCTTCAAATCCTGTTTCACACAAACAAAACATCAGGGATTTCAAAAAGGTAAATTACATAATTATAAATCAATAAACATGATTGATTAAAGAAAAGAAGCTGACAGAAATCAACTCTTTGCGAGCATCCTGTAATTCATCATTGCTTAGTCTTTCTTTGATTATCAAAGCTTGATTAAGCTCTTCCAAATCCTCAAGTTCCTCTTCTTTTTCTTTCAGATCTTTTTCAGTCGACTCCAGTTTATTCTTTGCTTCAGCATCCTCATCACTCATGTGCTTCATTACTTCCATGGCTCCTTTCAACTGTTTGATCTCCAGTTCCAGTCGTTGCTTATCATCAAGCTTCTTTTGAAGCTCAATAATCTTCTGGTGAAGTTTCTCTTTTTCTCTCTACATAAACAAACCACAAAACATATGATTATCCTAAAACACTTATCAATTTTAAGAATAAAATTACTTTCTAATAAACCTTATGATCATCCCCCAATTTCAACATTCTCTCATCTGCTTTCTTCTGCTCCAAAATCGCCAATTCATTCTGCAAAATGTAAACACGAGTCAGATCATGTAAAGAAATATAAAGGTTAACACAATATGCACTGAGTACCATTTTCTTCTCATTGTCAAGCTTCTTTTGCTCACTTTCATTTCTAGCTTCACGTGCTCTCAGTTCCTTTTCACGTTCTTCAAGCTGTAATTTGCTCTGTTCATGCTCAATGGAAATCTTTTTAAGCTGTTCATTCGCCTTCTTTCCCATCATCTCATGTGCTAATCAAGAACAAAGTTAGGAATCAAGAAAAAGATTCATCATAGCTTTTATATACAAACACTATAAATATGAATACCTTTATTGTATTTCTCAGCCATCATATTTAAGTCCTTCATCAACATTTCATTCTGCTTCCTAACAGAAGCCATATAATCATCTGTCCTACTTATTTCACTCTTGATTTCTTCACTTTGTTTCTCTGTCTCTTCCAACCTTTTATTCAATCCCATACGAAGCTTACAATCTTTTACTTCATCTTCTTTTTCAACTTGAGAAACAGCAGCCTTTAGGTCACCATGTTTTCTCAGATAATCTCCAACAAGACCATTGGAGTTATAATCTTCATCCCTTGCAATCCAAGCATAGAGCTTATCATCTTTGCACTTTTTGCTATTATACCAATCTTTCCTTCCATGTTTTTCCACCTCAAAATCCTTCACAAACAATGTAGCATAACCAAATCCATCCATTTCTTTTGCAAATTCAACCACAGCAAATCCAGAGTGACCCCTCCTGTTCCATAGAGGATGAACTTTTGTAGGTTTGTACCCTTGATTTATCCACTCATCTTTTAGCTTTTTACCACTATCACCAGTATACCTACCATCCTTGTATTGAACTGGGATGTTAGCAACCACACACACCCATGGCCAAACAATTGCCTCTTCCCTTGACATGTCATTCTTCTCCTCTAAATCAAAACTTTTCCTTTTACTCGTTGATTTCGAATCCTTGACTTTAGCATCAAAGTCTTTCTCTAGAAACTCATCCAGTCCCTTATGATTCCCCTTTTCTTTCAAATTAGCACTTGTTGATTCTATATCCTTGATTTTAGTATCAAATTCTCTCACTAGAAACTCCACCAATCCCATATGCTTGGCCTTTTCTTTATAAGTAGCACTTCTTGATTCACTTGTGATCCGTGATGCATGCCTACAGAGGTCCTCACTGTAAGTGTATTCTCTACTCTCACGACAATAAGGACATTTAAGAATCTTTTCTGAAAATTTGACTTTGACTTTGCCTTCTTTGAGGTCCTTGTAAGAGGTGTATATGTATTCCCGGAATGCAGGATCACTATGGCTTAACTTTCCTCCTCGTTGAGTCATCATACACCTATATGGAAAAATACCAAACAAAACAATTGAGCTGCATAACACTACTTCTAAAAGGAAATCTTTTGGCAAGAGGTGAACCTCAATAAATATTTATATCCATTTTTGACTCACATCATATAGATATCACCAGCAAAACACCATGTTAAGATAACAAGCTAATGCTTTACAAAAACAGCAAGAGATTAACTGAGACAATGACAATATGTAATTGACCATAAATTAATTGCCTATTGCTAAATGAATGGATCAATTCTAAAGCAATAAAACTCAATAGAAAACAAGTAGGTAACCCTTTAAGGTGAAAAGAACTTCAAATTAATGACAAAATGTATGCATATACAGTTAGTTCTACTAACAATGATACATTCATCTACTTGTAGGATCTCCATATAAGAAGTTAATCAACCTATTTAGCAGGGTAAATCAGTTTTTTTAGCAAAATTTCAAGGGGAAATAGCCAACAAATTACCAAATGTAAGTTTACAATCACGTACCCTCAATTTGCAGGGAGGGAAGAATAAGCATAAAGAGAAAAACAGAGGTTGGCATACGACTTCATTATGATAGTAATGTGAAACAGTGTATGATCCTTAAAACGGACATATCATAAAATGAATTAATTTCATCTATTAATCTACCACTCACGCTGCTTTGTTGCGATTAAGCTTTTAAAAAAATCAAAAAGAAGTACAAAGATTATTAAAAACTGATCACATTTTAATCTGAGACTACAAATCATCGACAATATCCACCTATAAAAGTAATCGGAAGCATAAACGTATAAATTATAATCAACTCGGCTCCATGAACGACATAAAGTATATAGCAGAGAAATTAACACAAACACAACACGATGATTGGAGTAGTATACCTGAGATATTCGAGAAAGTTTGAAGTAGAAGGATTCAGAAAAGCAAACCAAAACCCTAAGTTAGAATCGTTTGGGTTTTTTCCAGTAGTAATGCGGAAGTTAACGATCAACCGAGCAAACTTGTTGAAGAAATGGCAAAAGCAGGTTTTAGTGAGAGGAGATCAAAATAGGCAGAGGTTTTTATACGCTTACGTGATTGCGGGATTTTGAAGGAATTTGAAAGAGAATGAGGGAGTATAGTAGTATACATATGGATTTCAAAGAAGCATCACTGGGAAATGGGAAGTTGGGAATGGTTTCTGTCTTTCTGTTGCGTTTTTCCCATAACTAGAAAAAGAAACGAGTACGACTTACACTTTTTGTTTTATGCGCCCCCCCAAAGTACGTTAATGGAATAACATACAAAATTTGTCATTTCTAAATAATTTATATGTTATATACTAAATAATTTATATATATTGTTATGAATTAAGCGTAATTAATGTAACTATAAATCAAACCAAACTAGTAAACTTTGATAAGAACTTTAATTGAGAAGAAAGAATATTTTGAGAGAATATGAAAGTTATATCTCTTATAACTTTTTGGTGTATCACATTCTTTACAATGGAGGGGTATTTATACTACAAATTTTACTAACATACAATTGTAACTAGTTAGAAATGTTGACAAATTTACCATGCACCAATTATTATGTCATCCACCAATTATTTACATCACCACCAATTATTTACAACACTCCCCCTTGGATGACATCATTTTAGCGTTCAACTTTGACGTACTGCCTCATTAAAAACCTTGCTAAAGAAAACCCAGTGGGAAAAAAACTTTAGCGAAGGAAAAAAGAGTGCAGTGTATAGTTGACTCCCCCTTATTTAGACATCTGTCACATTATATTCTATGCACATGTCGCATTCCGATGCCATGGACATGTTTCCTGAAGATTGCAGTAGGAAGTACCTTCGTAAAAAGGTCTGCTGCATTGTTACTGGATTGAACATATTTGATTTCAACTTGATGGTTCTTTATAAGCTCTTGAGTGTACTCAAAATACTTTGGAGGTATATATTTTGTCATGTCGCTCTTGATATATCCCTCTTTCATTTAAGTGACACATGCTGAGTTATTTTCATAAATTAAAGTTGGACATATATCCTTTTCAAGTCCACATGAATTTAAAACTAGTTGTGTCATCGATCTTAACCATGTACATTCTCTACTAGCTTCATTTAGTGCAATTACTTTAGCATGATTTGAGGATGTGGCAACAAGTGTTTGCTTTTGAGAACGCCAGGAAATTGCAGTACCTCCATTCATGAATACATATCCAGTTTGAGATCTAGCTTTATGAGGATCAGACAAATAACCTGCATCTGCATAACCAATCAAGCCATGTTTTTAATTGTAAGGGTAAAATAACCCTAAATCACTAGTTCCTCGAAGGTATCGAAAAATATGTTTGATTCCATTCCAATGTCTTTTTGTTGGGGCTGAACTAAATCTTGCTAGCAAGTTTACAACGAAAGAAATGTCAGGTCTAGTACAATTGGTAAGATACATAAGAGCTCCAATTGCATTTAGATATGGTACTTCTGAACCAAGGACTTCTTCATTTTCTTCGCATGGACGAAATGGATCCTTGTCAATATTTAATGATCTAACAACCATTGGAGTGCTTAAAGGATTTTCATTTTCCATATTGAAACGTTTCAAGACTCTTTCTGTGTAATTTGATTGATGCACAAGTATTCCGTTAGGCATATGCTCAATCTGTAAACCAAGACAATATTTGGTTTTTCCAAGATCTTTCATTTCAAATTCTTTCTTTAAAAGTTCATTCACTTCAAGGATTTCTTTATTCGTTCCAATGATGTTTAGATCATCAACATAGACTGCTATGATCACATATCCAGATGTTGTTTTCTTAATAAATACACATGGACAAATAGTGTTATTTTTATAACCTTTACTTGTCAAATAATCGCTTAAACGATTGTACCACATGCGCCCAGATTGCTTTAACCCATACAAAGATCTTTGTAATTTTATAGAATACATTTCTTTGGGTTTTGCACTTAACGCTTCAGGCATTTTAAATCCTTTAGGGATTTTCATATAGATATCACTATCAAGTGATCCATACAAGTAAGCTGTAACAACATCCATAAGACGCATCTCTAAATTTTTAGATACTGCCAAGCTGATTAAATATTTGAAAGTGGTTGCATCCATTACCGGTGAATAAGTTTCTTCATAATCAATTCCAGGTCTTTGAGAGAAACCTTGAGCAACAAGCCTGACCTTGTATCTTACAATTTTGTCTTCTCATTTCTTTTTTGTACGAAGATCCATCTATATCCTAATGGTTTCACAACTTCAGGTGTGAGGATAATGTTCCCAAAAACCTTTCTCTTGTTAAGAGAATTTAATTCAACTTGCATAGCTTCCTTCCATTTAGCCCAATCATTTCTTCTTTGACATTCAATGACAGATTGTGGTTCGGGATCATCATTCATAATATCACATGCAACTGAATAAGAAAATATTGCACCTATATTGTCAGTTTCATTTTGGTCACATATTCTATTTGTCTGACCATAATTTAATGCATCATCCTCCTTTCCTGGGGGAATTTGAATAATTCGTGTTTCTCCATGAACACTTTCCTCGTGATCTAGTGCATTTTCTGCTCCTCTTCTTTTTCGTGGGTTCTTATTTCTTAGAACCAAATGGCCTTCCACGCTTCAGGCGTGTTTTAGACTCTTGAGTGACTTTATCATCAGATTGTCCATGTGGAATGTCAATTCGAGCTGGAACATTGACAGCTGGTATATATGATTTAGTCACCCTTTTTGTGTCAGTAAATGCATCAGGTAATTGATTTTCCATTTCTTGGAAATGCATTATCTTTTGAACTTCCATGTCACATTGCTTTGTGCGAGGGTCAAGATATGATAAAGTAGGCTCATGCCATGACACATCTTTTTCCAGAATCTTCTTTTCTCCACCTAATGATGGGAAATTTGCCTCATCAAATTGACAATCTGCTAGGCGTGCTGTGAAAACATCACCTGTTAATGGTTTAAGATATCTTATAATAGAGACTGACTCATAACCAACATATATTCCCAACCTTCTTTGAGGACCCATTTTTGTCCGTTGAGGTGGTGCAATAGGGACATATACTGCACACCCAAAAATTCTCAAATGGGATATATTTGACTCTTGACCGAAAGCAAGTTGTAGTGGAGAATATACATGATATGAACTTGGTCTCATGCGTATCAATGATCCAGCATGTAAGATTGCATGGCCCCAAACAGAAACAGGAAGTTTGGTCCTCATTATCAATGGTCTAGCTATTAGCTGGAGACGTTTAATCAGTGATTCAGCTAAACCATTTTGTGTGTATACATGAGCAACTGGATGCTCAACAACAATTCCCACAGACATACAATAGTCATTAAATGCTTGTGAAGTAAATTCACCAGCATTATCAAGTCTCACTCTTTTGATAGTATAATCAGGGAAATGTGCCCTTAATTTAATAATTTGGGCAAGAAACTTTGCAAATGCCATATTACGAGTTGATAATAGGCAAACATGAGACCATTTGCTGGATGCATCTATTAAGACCATAAAGTATCTAAATGGTCCAGATGGTGGGTGAATCGGTCCACATATATCACCTTGAATTCTTTCTAGAAATCTAGGTGACTCCCTTTCAACTTTCATTGGAGAATGTTTTATAATTAACTTTCCAAGGGAACAAGATGTACATGGTTTTATGCTATTGGATTGAGGGAACTTTTGGTCCTTCAATGGATGCCCGTGTGTATTCTCAATTATCCTTCGCATCATTGTTAATCCTGGGTGGCCCAACCTATCATGCCATAAACTGAATGTCCCAGGATCACAATGTTTTCCTTCTACTACCATATTTGATTCAATCATATGTATATATGTATAATGCATACCAGAATCAAGTGTTGGTAGTTTTTCAAGCACATGGTTTTTGTCTATAATATACATATATTTCTTATTTTCAATGGTCACAGTTTTTGTGTCATAACCTTTGAAATATATGTCATTGAAACTTAATAAGTTTCTATTAGACTTTGGAGAAAATAAGGCATTTTCTATACAAAAGCTTGTACCATTTGGTAATATAAAATGGGCTTTCCCGGTTCCCTCTATCAAGTCTGCAGGACCTGATATTGTATGTATGACTGTTTTTGTTGGTACTAATTCTGAAAAATATTTCTTTGATTTCAGAATAGTATGTGTACTACCACTATCTGCTATACAAAGATCTCCAATCTTTTCTTGGTGTTGTGCTCCAGTTGGACTCATATTAAACTTCACATATAAAAGGAATAATAAGTGAATAAACATAATCATAATTATTATTAAAAAGAAAACTCATTTATTGTAGGAAAGACATTACATGAAAAACAAACGAAGGAAAAACAATTTTACTAGAACAATAATAGATTTTTTTTTAGTTTATGTCTTCCATGTCATTACAGAAATCAGCAACATTTAGCGGAGTGAATTCAACATTATCAATGAGGTTTGCTTCTTTTCCTTTTCCTTTAATGGACTCTTGATAAAGTTGACAAAGATGTGCAGGTGTGCGACAGGTCCTTGACCAATGGCCTGTGCTACCACATCTATAACATGAACCATCAGATTTTTGTGATGTCCCAGTGTCATGCCTTGCCACTTTGGCCTTATCTTGTGTGTGGACATTGTTTCTTTGTGAATATTGGTAATTATTCCTTTTCTGGCCACGACCACGATTATTACCTTGTCCACGACCAGAATTATGGTTCTGATTATGGCTTTGGTTTTGATTAAAATAGCCACGACCTCGTCCTCGACCACGACCTCGCCCTTGTCCACGTGTATTGTTTCGATGACCATCAATATTTGTAGCATTTGCTTCAGGAAGTGCTACTGATCCCGTTGGACGAGATTCATGGTTTTTCATTAAGAGTTCATTGTTTTGCTCTGCAACGAGCAGACATGCATTCAGTTCAGAATATCTTGTGAACTTTTGCATCCGATATTGTTGCATCAAAGTAATGTTTGTTGCATGAAATGTTGAGTAAGTTTTCTCCAACATATCTTCATCAGTAACCTCTTGTCCACAATACTTGAGTTGTGAACATATTCTGAACAAAGCTGAGTTGTATTCATTTACTTTCTTGAAGTCTTGAAACCTTAGTGTTCTCCATTCATCTCTAG